GCACTTTTTCTAGATGGACAAAAATGGTTGCCTTGATAAAATACTCATGAAAAAGCAGTGCCTCTCTCAATGCACTGGATGCAAGCAAGTCTCCAAGTTTGGAGGCTTATAAAACTCTCATATGAGGGGTACTGGATTGTGCCCCCCATCTTCTAAATCATTTCAGCAAGCCTTGACAGACTACTGAATAGATCTGTATACTTTTAAATATTAACTTACTAGGAGTAATATAGAAATGCAAATAAATTATTCAATCTCATCATTTATAAAATAGCTGATACAAATATTTATCCATTCTTCATCTGAAATATTTAGTCAGTGTCTTATTTAGGAAAGCAAGAGCATTAAAAAAAGCAGACCCCATAACTGAGCCAGTGCTGAAAGAAAATGAACGAAACAAAATGGCTCGTGGTTAAAATAATCTTAGTTTCTATAGCAACTCAGCAATGTTCACTTATATGTTTAAAATATTACTTGCAAACATATAAGCAAAGGGCAATCCAAGAAGAGTATAACATAATGCAGGTTAGGTTTAATAGCTAGATCAGAAAAAATGTTCAAAATCATAGCGTTTGAGTATTCTAATGCTATGGATAGATGAATTCTAGATAGCTCAATGTAAATACCTCATCAATTATCATCTCAGGGGCTTTCCAGAGGTTTTGTTGATTTGTTTGATGTTTGCACAATGTGCAAACATACATTTGCTCCTGGGACACAGAGTAATTCATCAGGTTAGTGCTTCTGTTGCTATAATATCACCTTTTCCTGCAGTCTAACCTTAATAATCTTGTTGCTGGAGGAAAATGCATCCTTGCCTCACATCAGATGCAATTGTAAATACTGTATTGAATGCAACCACTTAGTACTATAGTTCCTGTAACTTAATTAGCAATGAGTTCAATGCCCTGCCACCACTAATGCTAAAGTTGAATAGTTCAGGCACAAGCTGCTTGTATAGCTGTCAAAAATAGAAGGAATTCGAGGAAAACCAGTACTTGTTCCTGCAACAATGCGGTATCATTTTATGTACAATTTACTTTTAATTTCTATAATATTTCAAGCTTGGTTCTTTGAAGGCAGCATGTTCATTTCTTTAGTTATGATGTTTCCTATGTATAAATGCAAAACATACAAAGCTTGGCAAATCTATACCCAATTTGTTAGGCTGCAGTGGATGTTACTAGTACTGGATTGGGTCCAACATAAGTAAAATGCTGAGGTCCATGCACCAGTGGAATGAAATCTTCCCTGAAAGACCGGAGGGTCCATCTGGGTGCATGGGTGAGAAAGGAAGGGGAAGTCCTTTCACACAATGCTGAATACATCCCATGGGGCAAACGCTGAGTGTTTTTCATTGTAAACTGCTGTTTTATTTGACTAGATTATTAGACTAGTTTCGTAAAAGTAGTTTATGAACAAGTAAGGGAATTCTTATGAATGTTGCTTGAAAGAAAGAAAAATATTATAGGAAAAATCAGCACCAGACATAAATCTAAGGGAAGTGTGGTGGTGTAAAGGAAAAAGAAGATGTAGTGGTTAGTAGGCATAGTCAAAGCACTGGACTGGGATGCAGGAGATTTTGATTCTAGTCCCCAGTTTTCCATGAAGCTCACTATAACATTGGGCCAGTTACTGAACCTGACCCTCAGCTACCTCACAGGTTGTGAGGATAACATTGAAAGAAGAGAATTATGTATGCCACCTTGCACCCTTTGGAGGAAAAGGCAGAATATAAATATGACAGAGGGAGGGAGAGGGAGAAACAGAGTCAGCCACTATTCAATATATATCATAACAAGCAAATAGTTCATCATGTTAAAACATGGTGTAAATCAGAAATATTGTGTGCATAAATCAGAAATATTTGTTGGCTAAGCTTGTATCTGAAGGGTTGAGTAAAGAAAAGTAACTGGAACCACTTTAACATATAAAGTGTTTTCTTATCTGTGATCATGGTTTAGTTTGGCAAGGATACACTGTAAATAAGACTTTAAAAATCCAGCTATACGAGCAGCAGGAAGCAGGCTCAGACAAGTGTAATAATTTACTTCAGAGACTGAAGCTTCCCTTAGAATTCCATCTTTGTGTTATGAGAAAACATACCATCTTGAGGCAGAAATTAGGCTCTTGCTTTGCATTAGGGCCTCCATAATCCCAGAATATTGGAAAAGCTGCCTGGGACTCATGAGCATCCCAAGCATCTGGAGATGGGCTATTGTAATTCATTAATTCCTTCTGAATATCAGAAGGCACCAACAAATTCAGAAATAGGCTCACACTCCCTGCCTTTCTCTTGGTATAGGTCATCCATTAGGATGACAAAGGCAGTTTCAGTGCCAAACCCAGATCTGAAGCCAGACTGAAATGGATCTAGACTATCTGTTTCATCCCTATATGGAAGGAGTTGTCCAGCTACTACCAAGCTTCATAGTCTTGCCCAGCAAGGGGATGGTAACCACTAGGCTATTGTCCTTTAATTGTGGAATAACAATTAAAACTATAAAGAGAAGCAAATGATCACAACAGCAGTCAGCAGCACAGCTATGCCATCTGCATCTTGCCTTGAATGGAGAAAATATTCCTTTATGAATGGTCAAGTACAAATAGCACCTGCATGTCCCTTCCTCCCGTTTCCATCTTCCCACTCACTCAACTGCTGCAGCATGACCCCTAAAGCAGGATTTTGGCCTATTACAGCTAGAAATAGTAGCTGCCCCAGTACTGCATTTTTTCAATAAGGGAAACTTGCTGCCTTTGAAAAAGCATTTTTAAGCCAGGGAAAAGAGAGCTAGGACTGGCAGCTGCAAGAGTAACATAGCACTCTGCGACTAATGCAGCATCTTATGGTGGCTGCCTGCCTAGTCTCTCAACTTCTCACATTACAGCAGAGATAGAAAAGCTGTGTGCATGTTCATTCTCTCCCTCTACCACTTCAAAGCACAGATACTAAGTTTCATAAAAATAGCTAACATAATCATTAGGTATTCAACAAAACAGACTCCTTCTCTTGCTGTGCAGAACACTACCAAAACTTGTTCTGAGTGATTACAATATGAAATGTAAGTTCAAGCCAACTGTTAATACTTAGCATGGGTTTGTTACAGGATATTCAGGATAAAGATTAACAATGCAGGAAGCATATCTGAGAACTCCATCCCTAAAGTCACTAATGTACATTGGATCAATGTGCAAGCTGAAGTGCATTTCCTGTATATTATTAACTCTGAAAAGTCCACCTTCCACAAAATATTCAGAAATATATTGATCTTGGTCTTCTCAGGTGAAGTTCCCATAATATCAATTTCTTTCAATGCCAAATGAGCTAAAATAACAATAAGCAATATGGAGAATACAATTTGAGCTTTCCATCACACATTTAAAATTTTAACTGGTGTCATTAAGGTGTCCAGTAACTGCAGGCTAATGTTAGTAATCATCCCTTTCAAATAGCAAACTTAGTGACCCTAAGCTTACCAGTAGAACACCCAGCCACAAACAAGGTGATTATTACTCTGGGACACCCACAAGTATGTAGAAAAATATTAACGTGCAAATTAAAATTACCAAATAGGTCGATGAGGGCTTTAGGACTGGGAGACTGTCTACCGATCAGAGCTTGGTCTGCTAACATTTCATTGAAAAATACGTAACAACATTTGGAAGGGCTCTCTATACCGCGTTTATTGACTTTAAGTCAGTATTGGATATGGTTATGAGAAAAAATTGGAGCAACCACATTGCTAGATGACTTCTAACTTTGATATGCAGCTTATACTTCAATACAAGCTTGAAGATTAAAGGTAGTGGGACATCTAATTGATCAGACCCAAACTTTCAAAGGAGTAAAGCAAGGCTGTATGCTTGCTCCCATGCTATTTAACTTTTACATTAGTTCATTTCTTAATAACCTGGATATTCCCACCCTCCAAAATTAGCAAACAAGCCTTTGCCTATACTCTTAGGTCATCAACTTGTTCTTACAGAGTATCAAATATTTCTCTCTTTCCCCAATCAGAAAGGGAACTGTAAGTATTTGACTCAGTAAATTTTGCCTAAACCTTCATTTCCCGGATTCAGTCTGCTTTATCCAGTCACTTCTGCCAACATCATTCCTATCTTGTAGATGAGGTTACTTACTGAACGCAGGAAAACTACATTAACATGAATGCTTCAGGCAGTAAGCTTTTTGGAACACGGATCATCAAAAGGCAGCATAAACAACCCTTGTTCTTATTTTTTACATAGACCTTCAGACATTTTATTAAAGCGCAAGTCTTCCCCACTGTTTGCAATCCTCTAGCTTATAGTATGTAACAAGTTTGAAAAAAGCAACATCACAGAGTGGGGCAATTCATAACCTTCTTAACAATGAGTTGAGTCAACTCAACTCACTGATGCAGCAAATTGCTTATCTAGATTGTTTTTATGGCTAGGGAATGTCCTTATGCCTTTCCCCCATGAAGGGACACAAGGCCTGGGACCAATCTTCCGGCACATTTACCAACCAGCCTCCTGGTTTACTGCAAAGCTAAAATAAAACCACATGACAATGTTGGTCCTGCCTTCATAACAAATATTCTGTGTAAACTTTGCCAAGATGCGTAAGAATTACAGGCTGTGATAACAGACTGCATAATTACAGGTAATCAAAAATCAGCAAAGCAAAACTAAATGTTAATATGCAAATACAACCCCCATTGCCTAGTGCAATTCTCTACTGCTCTGATTATGTAAATTCTCTTGTGCAATGGCTTCACGGGAGTCTGTATTTAAAGTATTAGACTCGTATATCAATGGTAAAGTAGTATTACAAAATGTTACACAGAATACATGATCTGCAAGCACAGCCTTAATTCTTTTTAGGACAAAGCACTATACATGTTTGATAGATAACTTAAGACTAGTAGAGAAAACATACTATTTTAATTTCTTAATTAAACCAAAGCATAATTATTCTTAACAATAATGATCACACAGCTGGAAGCATTCTGACTCACTGATGGGCTTTTCACCAGTAGGATTTGGTGGAAAGTTTTCTGTGAAGTTGACATTGCACAGGTTGGTACTACAGCAGCAGAAGCGGTATGTCCCATTCTGAACCAAGGAAGGGGTGGTGGTTACTATGCACTCTTCAGAGTGACACTCTTGGGGGTCTCCTATATGAGACCAACATCCTGAAAAGAAGGAGCAAATGATATAGATCAATTGATTGCATGGCCATTATATTCAGCTTACATTTGCTCCTCAACTTTACACTCTTATCAGATTGCCTCTCATCTACATAAACCCACCTGCCTTTAAATATCAATGAGGGACATTTTTCTCTGAATTTCTTTTTCAAGCAGGGCCTTTTCTACTGGGTCTATGAGCAGAGCCCACTAAAGATGTAGCTCCAGACCTTCTGGATCCCTTCTCCATGAAACATACAAGGCAACAACCTTAAGGAAACCCACTTTTAAGTATTTCTGTTTCTAAAATGGACTTTGTGTGACTTGAACCATACACTCTAGCCAACTATAAAATGTTATAGACATTGATTTCATTACTGAGACATGTATTTATTACTGATATTTTAATGCTGGAAATGTATTTCATTTTATTGATTATCAAAAATCAGTACCAGCAGGTTTTTCTAATGCAGGACTGTTCGTAGATTTCTTTGTAATCAAAAGATAGTTTGAAAGCTTATTTTACTTCAGATTGAAGTAAGAGAATATACAATGTTCCAATGTGTGCTGGTAACCAGCAAACAGAATGTGCAGCATTACAAGAGCAATCTCTCTAAAGAGCAATTTTTTGTCCCATGGTTTATGTTTTGGAGTGAGGGTAGTTCCATACCATACAAATCCTGCTAGTTTGTTTAGACCAGCCACCATCAGAATACCTGCAATAAAAACTGCCATCAGACTAAAGGCTTATCAAGTCTAGTTTTTTGTTTGCACAGGGGCTGATCGGATGCCCATGGAAAGGTCACAGTGCCCTATTAGATGTCTGTGGAAAGGAGTATCAATGCAACAGCATCTTCTAGTTTATGTTCCCCAGCAACTGGCATACAGAAGCATACTGTCTCTGATAATAGAGTCATCAGGCCTGGCAGGCATTGTTAGGCTTCTCTTCTATAATTAAAAAAAAAAAAAAAACCTTTCCAGGTTGATAGCGATCTCTACATCTTGTCATGTGATGAATCACGGCCAATTACCCGCAGATCTGTTCGTCTTCTCCATAAGTTTCAGTGTAAAGAACAAGTGGCAAAATCCACAAGAAACTGTTATCTGGCCATAAGAACTGAGGTCATCACAAAGAGAGCATGTTTAACTACAATAGAACAATAATCAGTGATGATATTATTAACTATTACCTTGTTTAACCAGATGTATGTCTCCTTCTCGTGTTTTCTCCCAGAGACCATAACAGGTGTTACCTTTCATACACAAAACTGTACCATTCTCTTGAGAAATTCGACTTTCACTAATCCCATGATCATTTTGGTAAGGGTCCCTAAAAGCACATGTTGTTTCTTCACTCTGGGCAGCTGAAGAAGAAAATAAAATCAGGTAAGTTCAAATATTAGATTAAGGCAGTATTCAAATTTCGACATAATTGAAAAACTTGGAAGAGCAATTTCAGAGTTTGGGAACATTGCATTTGTGAAAGTGGTAACGAATTCCCTTTTGTAAGAACATAAGAAAACCCATGCTGGATCAGACCCCAAGTCCACCTAGTCCAGCACTCTGTACACATGGTGGCAAACCAGCCATCGTGGGTGTCTGTCAGATGTAAGCACAGTCCATTTTTGTGCTTATAGAAAAGCTTTTCTCTGCAATTCCTGTTTCCCCTTTTGTGAAAATGCTGTGCTGGGCCAAACCCTCTTCCATCATCAGCATGCCAGCTACCACTATGCACACATGTACTGCACACATGTACTGGGCCAAACCAAAAATCTTATTTGCAGAACCACTGCCAACAAAGTGACTCTAAGTTAATATTGCTGAGAGGGGAAAAAAGAAAAAACAGTGGAAGTGGCCTGCAGCAGGATCGCGAGCCTAGCTATTTTTTGAAGTATTCATAAATGCTTTAAAAATTCAGCAAGGGAGACTGGATAAGAACACATACACTCCCAGGCCAAATTATCAGTAAATCTTAGATCATCATCATAATTAGTCTTCCCAGTGAGCATACATTTCCCCTGAGCTAAAATATTAAATGATCAAAAATCTTAAGATCCCAGAAATTCAAAGGAATTTCTGCCCATTTCTTTTTTTGATTTGCTCCATAAATTAGGCCATAGCTCATTCTAACAACTTTACATCATGATTTCATTAGGAAAGAAGAAAAGCTGTTCAGAATAAAAGAACTGAATACCCCTTATAAGAGCACAAAGAATTTAAATTGCATGCACCTCTCAAAGCAACATTCCTGTCTATAGCATTTTCAGATTTCTCATATATGTGTTAGTTGGATGGCAGAGCTTGACAGTATTCAGTAACTGATAATACTGATCCATAAGTGAAGAACAGATAATACTGATCCATAGGTGAATGCCCCAATGAAATAGTGAAAGAAGAGATAACATGGAAGCTATGTTATTTTTTGCCTTAAACTCAAATTTTGCCACTTCTTGTGTGTGTGGGGGAACAAGCCATACTGTGGAAAAAGTTCCACATTCATATGACACACCTATTAACCATGGCTAGTTACCCATTATGGGTTGCTATGCTGTAGAAAGCCAGTCACTGAAAGATAGGCATTGCTGCACTGACTGGGGTCACATCACCACAATCCATTCTGAATAAAGAACCACTACGGGTTGCCACATTGTCTGAACTCAGCCTGCCTCCTGCAGGGTAGTTTGTTTTTGCACAACAAGACACCCTGATAATCCATGGCTTTTTCCTATTTTCTGGGTTTGCAGAAGTCATGATGGGGTTGTGTACCAGTCAAATCCAAGAGAATCATTTGATTCTGAGTTGCAGGAAGAGCAGGTTGCTTACCTGTAACTGATGTTCTTCGAGTGGCCATCTGTGCAGTCACACATATGGGTTCTGCGCCTGTGCAGTGCCTTTGGCCAGAAGATTAACAGCTAATGGTTTGGTGAGAAACTTCGCTCCCCCTCCCCCCTAGTAGTATATAAGGAGCGGAATGTTCGCCGTTTTCCAGTCTTTGACAGACCGGACGTTCGCTCCCTAACAAAAAGTTGTAAAGAACTAAAACAACAGGAAAAGTTTTGTCGGTATGGAATAAAACAAAACCTCTTGGTGGTACAACAAGCAGAGAAAAAATAGCTTGGTACCGGAAAAAATTGGACCACCCATGACACCAAGCGGGGCCGGTGGGTGGGTAGTGTGACTGCACAGATGGCCACTCGAAGAACATCAGTTACAGGTAAGCAACCTGTTCTACTTTGTTGTGGCCTCTGTGCATCACACATATGGGTAGAATAACAAGCTTACCCGAAATGGCGGAGGGAGGTATCATCAACGAAGAATAGATGAAAGAACAGCTCTGCCGAAAGAACAGTCCTGTCTAGCACGAACATCCAAACTATAATGTCTTGCAAAAGTACATGGAGTAGCCCAGGTAGCAGCTCTGCAGACATCCTCAATCGGGACTCCTGACACAAAGGCTGAAGAGGCAGCTACAGCCCTAGTGGAGTGACCCCTTGGAGTTTTCGGTAAGTCTATCTTGGCTAACTGATAAGACAGAGTAATAGTGTTAACTATCCATTTAGATAGTCTCTGAGGAGTAACAGGGAAGCCTCAGTTTTGTTCTGAATATCTAAAGAAGAGTCTAGAATGACGAAAAGACTCAGTCCTTGATCTGTAAAAGGCTAGGCAATGACAAACATCTAGCGTATGCAGAGACCTCTAGACTGGATTCGAAGGAGCTGGAAAAAATGCAGGCAAGATAATTTCCTGATCCATGTGGAAAGAGGTAGCCACCTTTGGGAGAAAGGATGGATCCATTCTTAACACTACTTTCTCCATATGAAAGTTCAAAAATGGAGGATCTACTCTTAGGGCACAGAGTTCACTAGCTCTACGGGCTGAAGTAACTGCTTAAGAAAGGCAGTTTTCCAAGAGACAAGACGTAGATCAATTGTTGCCAGGGGCTCAAAAGGAGGCCGTGTTAGTGCCTGTAGTACCACTGAGAGACTCCAAGTGGGCATAAACGGCCTAATTGTTGGATGGAGATTGCAAAGTCCTTTGAGGAATCTCTTAATCAGCGGCTGAGAGAAAATGGAAAACCCCTGCACAGTCCTGCGGTAATAGGAGATTGCTGCCGTATACACCTTTATGGAGGAAGGTTTAAGACCAGAACGGTGAAGCTCGAAGAGGAACTGGAGGATCTGATCTATACATGCGGAGGGCGCTGAACATGAATGAGATTCGGCAAAACTAGAGAATCTACGCCACTTTGCCGCATACGATTTCCGAGTGGATGGTCTTAATGCAGAGTCGAGAATATATTGTATATCGAGATGCAAAGCTTGCGAATCCGACAGCATATTCACTGGATCCAATGAGGCAGAGGCGGTAGGCGAATTCACAGTCTGGACCTGTGTGTTGGTGGTAGGAACGGAATGAGGAAGGACTGCAGATGGGATCGGTACCGTGCCAGCGTGCAATGTCATCGAATTCGCCAGGCAGTCAGTTTCAGCAACGATAGGTCCAGGTGTTGGATCGATCCCTCCCGCAGAGTTATAAGATAAGGGACGGGAGCAAGTTGAAGGTATTCCTCCCAAGAAATACGAAGAAGTGTTGAGAACCATGGTGAGCCATGGTTGAGAACCAAGGAGTGATCAGTAGCCCTGTGGCCCCATCATGAATCACCTTTGGTAGTACTCTCATGATGAGGGGAATTGGGGGGAAAGCGTAAAAGGTCATATCGCTCCGGGGAATCATAAAGGCATCCCCGGACGACCCCTGCCCGATTCCCACCCTTGAACAAAAATTCTCGCACACCCTGTTTTGTCGGGTGGCAAACAGATCTATATCTGGGAGGCCCCATCGCTGGAATAGCATATCGCAGCTCTGATGGTCCAGCTCCCATTCGTGTGACTGTGACATGTGTCTGCTCAAGAGATCTGCTTCCACCTTGTCCGTGCCCGCGAGCTGTACTGCAATAAGAGTGATGTCTCTTGGTATGCACCACTCCCAGCTTCACATCGACAAACAGGCTAATTTTGGGGAACTTGTCCCCCCTTGCTTGTTTAAGTAAAAAACTGTGTCTATGTTGTCCGAGGTTACCTGGACAACCTGACAGTGAAGCACGTCCTTGAATGACTGTAGTGCTTTGAACACGGCGAGAAGTTCCAGGAAACTGATATGGTTCCTGGAGTCCTGGTAATTCCAAACCCCCTGGGTGTTTAGACCGGAGCACAGTGCTCCCCATCCGAGAAGGGATGCATTGGTACTGAGATTCACTGTCGGATACCGAGGCCGAAATGGGACTCCAATGTTTAGGTTGCTTGACTCTGTCCACCATAGTAGAGACTGAAGAACAGAGGACAGGAGTCGAATCCGCTTCGTAGGCGGATCTTTTTGCGGTTGAAACCTCCCATTGAAGGACAATTGGAGGGAGTGCAGCTTGAGTTTGGCATATGGGATTACGGCGATGGACGCTGCCATATGTCCCAACAGTCTTTGAACAGATCGGGCAGAAACAATTCCTTCTCGTTGAATTCGGCGAATGTGTCGAGCGATAGCACGTTGTCCGTCTCAAGGGAAGAAGGTCTTCGCCACTGTAGAATCCAGTCGGGCTCCAGTAAAGTTGATCGTCTGTGTAGGGAGAAGAGAAGATTTCTGACGATTAATGCAGAGTCCAAGGTCTTGCAATAAGTCACAGGTCATATTTACAGTGGAGCTAAGTCCTTCCCTAGTTTGGGAAACCAACAGTCAATCATCGAGGTATGGGTATATCTGAATTCCACGTAGTCAAAGGTATGCACAGACGGGAGCCATACACTTCGTGAATACCCTCGGTGCAGTGGCCAGTCCAAACGGCAGCACCTTGAATTCGTAGATTTCAGAGGTTACCACAAAACGGAGGAAGTGCCTATGTCGTGGATGTATCGAAACATGAAAATAGGCATCCTTCAAGTCCAGCGAGGCGAACCAATCCCCTCTTCCCGGCAACAGGAGGATATTTTGAAGTGTAGTCATCTGAAACTTCTTTGGTGTTATAAATTTATTTATAGCTCTCAAGTCCAATATCAGCTGAACCCCTCCATCTCATTTCAGAACTGTAAAATATCTAGAATAGAATCCGTGGAGTCCTTCTGATGAAGATAAGTGATGAACGGCTCCTTTAGACAGGAGCTGGTAAATTTCGTCCAACAATACCGGGGAGCATGGCGTAAACTGGATAGGACTCAATGATGGAACAACGTCGAATTCAATTCTGTATCCGTGCTGGATGATGGATAACAACCACCCATCAAATGTAATGGACTCCCAAACGGGGAGTCGGCTTTTCAGTCAGTCCCCAAATGAGAGGGGGAAGGGTGGGGTTGGAAGGGGAGGAAAGGTTCGC